TTTTCCACAAGATCCACAGGATGTGTTAAAACCCCATAACTTCTCCCTCACGTGGACTTGAATTGGAGACTTCTCTGACATCAGCGCAAATATTTTCAAACCAGGCCAAACCATATTCTGATTGGTCTTCATTTGATGTATTCATGAATAAATATAAATATATTATGGTTGAACGTAGCAACAACAATAAAGATGAGCATCCTGAGCAAAACTCTGTGGTACACAATTTTTTTTTGTTTTCATCATGGAGAAGGTATAAATACATCTATTTATGGATGTGCTGTGACCTCTCCCAGTTCTCTTGCTCTCTTATGTTTGCCCACATGCTTTGCAATCACAATGCCCTGCTGCACTAAGGAGGTACGGATATTTTAGAAACTGGAAAATTGAGGTTTAATAGGGATACTGAGCTTCTGAGGATGCCTTTGGAAGAAGCAGACCTAAAATCCTGTTTGCTTGACTAGCAACACAAAGAATTTGGCTGTGAATGGTATTTGCAGAAAAGAATAATTAATTCCTCATCCTGAGGACATTCTGTTGGAAAAAAAGTCACTGTGTTTCACTGATTGCTTCATTCGGTGGCATCAATTAAAAGTTGTCATAGGGAAGTATGTGGATAACTATTCTGGAAATCTGCATTCACCACTAAATTACCCCATGCAAACACATCTACAACGATGGTTATCCACACCTTCCTTGAGAAATCATAAAAGAAATTGATTCAATTTTTTTCTCTTTGTTATTTTAGTGTTTTGTCAGAATTTCTGATGGAATTTATCATAGAAATAATCTGAATCTACAGCATGTGAGTAAAGTGGATATGGCTATAGAAAATCTGGGATCAGGTCTGTGTAAGTGGAAAAGAAGCCATATCAAGCATCTCACTTCTGCAGGCACTGAGAACAGGAGCAACATTCCAGCCCTGAACATCACCCAGCTTCAGATTTCAGGTGCAGTCATTCCTGTGAAATCATCCTTTCCCTTAACACTGGAGGAGAGTTAGACAAGTTCCTATCTTCCTAATAATGTTCCTGAAAAGAATCTTTCTTAGTCCCACGTTTGATATGGGATAGCTAAAAAGATAATTTATGAATGTTTTCACAAAGTGTCTATGCTAAAGATTTTCCTGAATTTAGTCTTCATCTCTTCTTGTAGCAAAGAAATAGTAGAAATAAAAAAGCATGCAGTTTAAGGTATATCCTTAAAATATTTTTAAAATACTCACAGTCAGTTTCCTCTGCTAATTATTATACTTTAGTCACTGTTTCAAAAATTTAACTTGAAGTATTTTAACTTAACAACTTTTGTTGCAATAAATTAGCTCTGAAGCTCTTTGGCATAGGAAGGAACCATGAAAATGTAACCCAATACACGGGGTTTTGACAAACCAACAGCACCAAGTGTTGTCTTCCCCTCAAAAATATGATAAAACAAAAGTCTAAATATTGTCATTACACTTCAATGCCAGCATTAACCTCTTCAGAGGCAGTGCTCTGTCACTCTAAAAGACAAAGGGTGCACTTACACTTATCTTGGATGTTGTAGAATAAGGCTGGAGTTGTTTTAACTGTGCAAAGAGCTGCTGATGATGGTGCACATGCAACAACCCAGCACCTAAAGTTTGGAACTTTACCTCTGAAAGTTAATGGCTCCATTCTGAGCTCTCCCACACCAGCAGGGGAAGGAAATCCTGCCTGGGCAGTGCTGAAAAGGCATTTGGATTTAATGCTTGCATGCATGCAGGAGGGATGTCAAGGGCTAGATACCCTGCAAATTTAAAAATGGAGTTCAGCACAAGTAAAACAAACATTCATCAGACCTACAGAGAACATATTTCTGCATTTGTTCAGGAGGAAAATCTCCTAGGCCCAAGCAAAGGAAGTAACTGCTCTTTGGGGAAAAAAAGAAGTTGTCTTTCAGGCAATATCTCCCTCTATGCTGTTGACTCTCTATTAAAAACACTCCTGCTGAAGGAAGAAGAGGCTGTATCTGTATTAATGCACAAGGCTGGGTTCCATGGGCCTCTCCCAGCCCACTGTGTGCAGCTGTTCAGAACCTCCCCACAAACTCTGACCACAGCTTCTGAACTTTGGGATAAAGATTAGCCTCAGGAAGCTGAGAACTGCATTGGGAATTTTACCTGGACATCTCAAAACCAGTAAATCAGGAAAAGCAGCCCTAAGCCAAACCACTCAGAGGAGCTTCCAGAGAGAACAAGGCAGAGACATTTGTCTGCGACCCCTCAGGAACTTGCTCAGACTCTTCCTTTGGCCCTGACTTAGGCCAAACAAGGATAACTTGAGCTGAGAAATAGTACAAACGATGAAAAACCAGCATTTCTCCCCTTTCGTGGCAGAGAATCCCCTTCCACAAAACTCAGATGCAAAGAACAACTATTTATAATGATGCAGCTGCAGTTTGACTCTGAAGACACCAAGTACAATTCCAGTGCTAGGAGCTGCTCACCTGCTCAGGAGCCCTGGCTTTTGTCTGACCTGCACCTGCACACCTGCCTGGGAAGGTGGAGGGAGAATTGTTTCAGGGAATGGGAATTTCTCTCTTCCCCACTGAGACCTGGCACTGCCAGTTCTGGAGAGAGCACTGGGGAACGATTTGACTCCATTGAGCTGAAATCGGTCCTGCTGCTGCCCTGCCTATGTCCTGTACTCTACTAACCCCACTGATGCTACCACCTTCTCTCCGACCTCCAGGTTATTTATGGATCTGCTTCTCCCCAAGGGCTAGTAGGTCATGGTACCAGCCACTCTACTCTCCTGCTCCTACCTGCAGGACAGCAGCACAAACAGGCAGAAGCAGCGCCACAGGTTTGCCAGATTTCCCCAGAAATCTTACGGAAGAATGGAGCTGTGGGTGTGAAACACGCTGGGTTCTCATTCACCGGGTGATCCCCGAGCCTGTCCCGGGGGCAGCGGTGGCGCCCGGGCTCTGCCGCCCTGACCGGAGCGCGGGGCAGCGAGCGGGGCCGGGGGCTGCCCCGCTGTGAGACCGGCTCCGGGGCTGCCCCTTCCCCGGGGGCCAGGAGCCGGGCACCCCGCCAGCGAACGGGGCTCTGGGGAGGTTTGCAGAGCATCCTCGCCCCGTGGGAGAGCCCGAGGAAAGCCCTGCCCGAGCCCGGCCGTGCTCGGCGGAGAAGGCTGGAGCCGCTGCCGGGGCATCCCCGCGGAGCGCCGGGAGGGAAGCGCCGGGGAAGGAGCGCGGATGCGACCGCCCCGGGCAGCCAAGGGGCACAAAGTGTCCCCAAAACTGCCGTCGGTAAGGGGTGACAGGACAGTCCCCGTACCCAAAGCCTCGCGGTCCCTCTGCTCCCGTCCCAAGGCGAACAGCGGAGGGGCAGCGGGAGCAGGCGAAGCTCGGAGCGGGGATGCGCTGCGGAGCGGGGAGCTCGGAGCCAGGACCGTGCCCTGGAGCCGGGGACACACGTGGGGAGCCGGCCGGAACGGGGCTCGGAGGCAGGGAGAAGCGAGGCGAAGCTCCGCCGGGGCTGTTCCGCAGCGCAGCCACGAGTAACGCACATCCCTAAAAATAAACCAACTAAAAAATATAGATATAAAAAGGGCAGAAAAACGAAGGAAAAGTTGTCCAGACTCCAAACACTCGTCAAACATACTGAAAAGATTGAATTATTTATTTCCTCTGGGGACTCCTGTAACCATTCATTTTTAATGGAGTCTAATTAAGAGTTCCCCAACGGGTTTTACCTTTGTAAATATTTCAGATGACCTGGCGTATCTAGGCAAAACCTCCTGACCCAAAAAAAAAAAAAAAAAAAAAAAGGAAAAAAAAAGGAAATAAAAAGCACAGGAAGCCGAGGCGGAGCCGTAATCCCGTTCGCTCCCCGTCGGCCGAGAGAAGGAAGGCAGCCGGGCGGAGAGGCAACAAGTGGCCGCGGTTCGCAGAGCGCCAGCCCCGGCAGCGATGCTTCCCCGCCCGGCTCCCGCTTCACTTGAATAGAAAACCAAATCCAAGGAGCACGTTCTCCCTCTCCCGCCCCCCAAAACACAGCCCGGCTGGGCAGGCAGAGAAGCGCGGCCGAAAAGCGCTGGCAGCTGCCGGACGGGCGGCGATGCTGCCCGCGGGGAGCCCCGGGACGCGCCCGGCCCTGCCCCGCTCCGCGCTCCCCGCAGCCAAGGGGGATCCGCACAAAGCGCCCGGACACCGCCGACGTGCCTGATAGAAAATTTATTGATCTCTCTTCGTTTGGAAGAAGGAAGCAAACGAGGACTAGGAACAGGGAAGGAGTATTTCGATGACTTTTTTTTTTTTTTTTTTTTTGGAAGGAATCCGGTAACAAAACTAAAACGTTTTTATCCGATATGCCAAAACATGTTTCACAGTAAAATTCACAAACCCATTTACATAAGTTTACAGCTTAAGAAAAACCAAGACATACAACTTACTATAAATAAAAGTAACGCGTTTGCGACCCGCACAGCTCTGCTCTCTCCCACCTCCCCCTTTTCAAGGAATAAAACCTCAAAATTAAAAAGTCGTGGAAGCTACAGATTGCGGATGGAAACCAAGCGAGGGTCGATAACAAAACACTTAATAAACCACAGCGATTATGTGAACAACCGAGTTTAAAAACAAAAGCCCGCGGTTTTTGTTTGTCATTGCAACGCTAGAAATCAAACTGGAAGATGCAAGATTTTTTAGAAAACTTTTAAGCGAATAAAACAGTGCCCAACCTAGCCGAAACCAGGAAAGGAGTTGCCGTGGTTTGAAAACTTCACAGCGGCTTCTAGGAGGCAGGAGTTGTGCTCTATTAAAATAACAACTTGCTCAAATATTATTTCTTGTAAAAAAAAAAAAAAAAAAAAAAGGAAAATAAAAAAGGACACAACTAACGGATTTCCTTTTTAAAATTTCTCCAGAGTTAGTATTAAGTCTAAGCGGAGCAACACTGCCGTACGTCCCGGTGCAGTCAGGGAGCGGTGGTGGGGTTAGGGATGAGGACGGGGAGCCGTCCGGAGCAGCCAAGTTTATATGTGAGTTAGTGGTACGGTACCATTGACGGCAGTCCCGGCACTCTGGTAGTGCTGGTGCACGCTGTGTAACCTGCTGCCCTGCAGGGCCGAAGGGTCTGTGGCATCCCCGCCGGGGGGCAGGTACATGCTGATCATATCCCGCAGGTCTCCCAGGCAGGCCCTCTGCGAGTGGGAAGTGATGGCCGGAGGCGGCGAGCTGGGCTCGGATTTCACCACGGAGCCCATGGAGCCCAGGCTCATGGCCGTGGAAGGCTGCTGGCCGTAGGCGGCGGGGGACATGCTGTAGGTGGAGGCGGCGTTCATGTAGGTCTGGGCCGTGGACATCATGGGGCTGTACTGCAGGCCCGTCATGTCGTAGCGGTGCATCTGCTGCAGCTGCGGGCTGTTCATGCCCGGGTGCTGGCTGTAGCCCAGCTGGTCTTGCATCAGTGAGTAAGCCCCGTTGGTCCAGCCGTTCATGTGGGCATAAGTGTCAATCCTCTGCCCCACCCCGACGGGGCTGCTCACCGCGTTGCCCCCCCCCGGGGCCAGCAGGTTACCGGGCAGCGAGTATTTGTCCTTCTTCAGCAAGGTCTTGGTCTTTCTCCGGGGCCGGTATTTGTAATCCGGATACTCCTTCATGTGCACGGCCCGCAGCCGCTTGGCCTCATCGATGAAGGGCCGCTTCTCGGCGTCGCTCAGCAGCTTCCAGTCGGCGCCGAGGCGCTTGCTGATCTCCGAGTTGTGCATCTTGGGGTTCTCCTGAGCCATCTTCCGCCGCTGCCCGCGCGACCACACCATGAAGGCGTTCATGGGGCGCTTCACCCGGTCCTGGTCCGAGCCCGCTCCCGCTCCGTTGCCGGCCCCGCCACCTCCGCCGCCTTTGCCGGTGCTCCCCGGAGCCGGGTTGCCCCCGGTGCTACCCGGCGTGGGCTGCGGCGCCTTGATCTCCGTCTCCAGCATGCTGTACATGGCCGGGGCGGGTAAAAGGTGCGCCAGGGCGGCGGGCAGGCGGGCACCGAGCGAGAAGAGGAAGTTCAAAAAAAAAAAAAAACCAAAAAAAAAACAAAAAAAAAAAAAAAAAAAAAAAAAAAAAAAAAGAAAGAACCTGTCTGGGCGGCTGCCACGAGAGCAGGAGGAAGTTTCTGTGCCTGGCAGAAGCCGCTCCCCGAGGTGCCGGCGGTGGCGGAGCTGCTGCTGTGCGGAGCGGCTCCCGCGGGCGGCAGCGGGCGATGCGCGCACGGCTCGCGGGGGTCCGTGATTGACGGGCTATAAATGAGGGGGCGGCGGCCAATCAGCGCGCGGTTCCCGACAGCCCCACGCCGGGCGCTGACCGGCCGGGGGCGGGCGGACGGAGCCGGGCCGGGCATGCCGCGGGGGCCGGGCCCCTCCCGCCGCAGCCCCAGCCCCAGCCCCAGCCCCAGCCCCAGCCCCGGGCCTGCACCTGCCCCCGGGGCACAGCGGCTCCCGCAGCTGCGGCCGGGCCGGGGGAAGGAGCGGGCCGGGGGTGCCCTCGGGGCCGCGGGAGGAGGAGCGGGGCGGAGCGCCGCGCTGCGCTGCGAGCGGGAGCTGCGCGGCTGCCGGGCACAAAGGGGTTTGGGGCTCCCGGGTGGATGCACGGTGCCGGGCCAAGCTCGGAGAGGCTGCCCGCAGACCGAGTGAGCCCGCACCGCACCGGAACTGATAAAGGGGCGGGGGAAGGATGGACGAGCTAATCTCTTCCACTCCTGAGCTGTCGCCTGGGGGAGAATCTATATTGCCGTGCTCGGATCGGGCACGGCTGTCGCTGGGAGAGGGCTGCCCCGCCGGGCCGGGATGGGTGGCTGCCGGCCGGGCACTCCCGGCCATCGCCACCTGCACCAACCCCGCTACCACTTGAGCTTTTCCACTCGGCTGCCCCAAAAGGGGGGAGGGGGGGTAGAGGGGACAGCCCTTGTGAATCCCCGGAGTTTCATGGCAACAGAAAGTTCCCTCCGTGTGAAAGAAAACTTTGGCGGCGGATATGTGAGTGGAGCGGCGCCCACTTAAGCTGTCAATCACCAGCTTCCCTGTCCGTCCCTCCCCTCCCTTTACCCCTCCTTTCCTGCCTTCGCCAGAGGCACGGACACTGCACCTGCATGGACAGGGCCGGCAGCTCGCTGAGAGCACCACGGGCACAGCGCTCTCCGCCGGGGACCAGGGCGGGCTGGGCTGGGCTGCCCCATCCCTGCCTTCCTCATCCTCCCGCAGCCCCCGCTCCAGCTCCGTCTGGAGAAGCCGGGCTGCTCTCCGGGCCAGGGAGCGCTGGGGCAGGAGAGGCAAAGCGAGCCGCAGGCTGCTCGGGGAAAGCCTCGCTGCCGGAGGATGCGGGCAGCATCGCCGCTGTGGCTGTGAGCAAACTGCCCCAGGGCCGTGTGGGGCGCCGGGGAGGGTCAGGGGCCTTGAGGTGCGGACGTGTCTGAGCCTCCCTTCCCGTCCTGGGCCGCCCGGCGAGGAGCGATGCTGCCGCCGCAGCTCCCCGGCTTGGCGGGCACCGGGGTCACCCCAAAGACAAGACCGCGAGTGTAAGGACGGTAATCGGTACGGGGAGGGGGAAACCTCCAGGGCAGGGCGGGGATGAGGAGCTCCCGGCCCCGCTGCAGCCCGCACGGCGCTTCCCGCGGGAGCGGGGACCGCACGGGCACCGGAGGGACCCTGGAAACAGCTCGGAGGTGTGGAGGGGGTTGAAGGGAGCCGATCTGAGCGCTGCTGGGATTTAGCAGTTGAAGGTCTCTCTCGTTTTGTACGGATTTCTTTTTGACAAAATGATCTGTTGTACAACGTCGAAGGGGAAATAAGTCCCGCTTGCGACCGGCTATGTTGTAGTCAGCACTTTGGTTTTTGCTTGGTTTGCTGCTGGGGTATTGAGCAAAGTCAAAATTTGGCAGCCCGTGGGGACAGGGTGACAACGGAAGGGTTGTTCCAGGCGGGAGCGGTTCGCGTGTAACTCTTGCAATATATTGGAAAAAGAAAGTTTCAGCCAGTCGTAATTAACTTCTAACCCTCAATATATTTTAGCTCCTCCAGTCGAGGTTTAAGATCTGCCAGGTTGGCAGGAAATCGGACTGATATATATCCTGACAATACTTTGATATTTCTTTATATGAGCGTTTGTTGGAGGGACTGGACACGCTTGCATGCAACGAAAAATTTGGCTGTATGGAGAACTGGAGGACGTGCTGAAATCCCCCTGAATAGTGTTTCCGTTAATGCTTAAATAAATATTGTAACGTTAAGTTTCGGACTCTTACTTTGTCTTTCAATTCGTCTTTAAACTGCCTGAGTCTCAAATTAGACATTTTTTTCCTTTAAAAGCCCAGCTCTTCAACACTTTTCAAGTCCATATTATTTCAAACGAATACATTTCTCTTGAACGCTAATCTTGTAAAAGAACTGAACCTGACTGAATAAAAATATAAGTACAGACTGATGGATTTCCAGATTTCACAAGTCCCTGTAACGCTCCCCCTGCCTTTGGCTCCCCACGCCGCACTTGTTCTGGGGAAAACTTCAAATTCCGGCTGATAGCTATTTCCAGAAGGGGTGAGCAGGACCCCCTGCTCCAATCCCCCCGCCTGGGCGGCAGTGCTGTGTGTGCGAACGCTCGGTGGGATTTGGGGAGCGGAGAGGGGAGCCCGGAGCCGCCTTCCCCCGGGGCTGTCCCGGCACCGCGCTCAGCCCCGCCCGGCCACGCCGTCGCCGCTCGCCACCAGCAGCCCCTTCCCGCGGCCACCCCGCACCTGCGAGCGGCTGTCGCTGTGTACCTTCCTTGTCCCTGCCCTGCAATCGCCGGTGATGCGGCATGGGGAGCAGGAGGAACGAGGGGAGCCCGCTGGAGCAGCTGCTGTCCCCAGAGTTACCTGCGGTGCGCTGAGACCCCGTGCCACCACCCCCTTGGCAGCAAATTCCAGCCTCCGCCTGCTCCCCGGGAGCGGGGACGGAGCCTGCGGAGCTGCCGGGACTCAGGGAAGGGGCAGAGAGCAGGAGGGGAACCAGCCCGGCACAATAAACCTGATGCCTGGAGCCATTTTCTTAAATTCACTACGAGGGAAGCTCCGTGTGTCTGGTCGGGGTCGGGAGAGCACTTGAGGTCGTGTAAATACAGTTGTCAAAGGCTGAGGAGCCTTTTATTATTATTTATTTATTTGGGTGACAAAGGAGCGTGAGGCGAGATAAGGAGTTTACAGCACAACCCAACTTGAACGCGAGAGAGACGCCGCGCTTGAAAAGGGCCATTTGAAAGGGTCAGTCCGGGCTTTCTGCGAGATCAACGCTTCATAAGAAAGAACCATTAATATATGTTAATTGCAGCTCCAGAAGAGCTCGGGAAAATCTTGGAACTGTGTCAGGGAGGATCGCTGGCTTTTAAAGAATAACTGTATGTACGACCCCGGCCCCGTCTAATCCTGTTTCTGTTTTTAAAACATCCCCTTGGTCACCAGCCTAATTCCCGACCGAGATCAGCGAGGGCTCCTCCTCAAAATTTGCCCAGACAAGGGAGCTGGGCGCCCCTTTCGTTTGGACCCTGATGACCCTCGCCAGGTTGATCCTCCGAAAATGTCCAAGCCTTTTAGCGATGCTTAAGATAAAAGTTCACATGATCCCTGTTTCAGGCTGGCATTCACATCCTCCCCCAGAAGTTTTCAGCGTGGTAATGTGACTACTAAATGGGCCATTTAAGGCCGGTTCTACAGATGAAGGTCGTTAGGATATTTTTTTGTTGTTGTTTTATTCTCCTTAAGCGTCACGCCAAAACACAGCTCGAGATTGCCCGCGACGCTGCTGCCTCCCTCGCCGCGGGGCTGACACGGCTGGAGCGACCTCCCAGCCCGGCGAGGGGGACAACAAAATCATTAGTTGTGACAAACGAGCTCCAACTCCTTCCCGTGGCTGCCCCAGCGCCTCGCCGCGTGGAGATCGCAGCTGTACCACAGCCTCCAGCTGTCCCTGCTGCCCGATCCGGGCAAGCAAGGGTTACTTCTGGTGACATCATTAAAAATCGCAACATTTAGGAACAAAAATCTGAAGTGCGTGGGTAAACCCGGGCAGCGTCGTTTGGTCGTAGCTCGATCCCTTTGAACTGAGCCTCCCAGCGCGTTCAGGAGGCAGCGGTGATTTTTTTTTTTTTTTTTTTTAATCACTTCCCTCCCCCCGCCGCCCCAGCTGAACTTTTATTTGGCTTCTGACAACAATAGAGGGCTGCAAACAGACCTCTCGGAGCGCCCTCTGAATAGACCCTTTTCGAGCCCGGATTGTTTCCACCGCCACAAAAAAACAACCAGTAGCTCCCGTTTTTTTAATTGGGTTGTTCCTGGCCCTGGCTCATTCAGGTGTTCGCCAGGAATTTGTTTATTAGCCTTTGACAAACAGCCCTTCCTGGCAATCGCCTCGCGGAGCTGGCTTCAGCGGGAGGGGAGGGATGCGGAGGGGGGCAGTTGCTAATAAGGACTCTCTCCATCCCCGAGTTACCAATTAACAGAGTTCTGGAGGGGACCACCAGCACGGGATAACTCGCCAGGGCTCGCTGCAGAGCCCCGAGGAAACCACAGATTTAGCTCATGTGTTTTCCCGCAAAACCACCGAGGGAAAAACGAGCCCGAGAATAGATGCTAAAGAGACCTCCCGCGCTGCCCAGCGCCTGGCAGAAATCTCATCCCCGGTGGATGAGCCAGTGGCAGGAACTTTCTGCAACTTCCCCTCGCTGTTACAGCACCGAGCGTACAGAGCCCCCTGAAAGAATTATCCAGCCCTAGCACGGGTCACCCGGAGCTGCCATCCCTCAAAAGCCGCGGGGATGTGGCGCTTGGGGACACGGCTTGGGGATGGCTGCCAGTGTCAGCTTCGCTCGCTGATCTCAAGGAGCCTTTTCCAACCTGAACGATTCCATCGTTCTCAATCTTTCTCACACCTCAGCTCCGTTTGCCCGCCCCGCCCCGAGCGCCCCCGGCAGGGGCAGCCCCGCTGTCTCT